AGTTTTTGATCGATTTTAGGTGCAGAGGAACCTTTCGACTCAATCATTAAGTTTGTAGGATTTCACGTCAGTCACGCTTCTATATTGCTTCTTACCATCAGTTTGTCAATCATGTAGTGCGATTTCTATTTCTCTCTGTCTAGATATAGCGCCCCATAGATTGGTACTATGCATCTATGATGTGAGCTACTAACGTGCACAGTTTTTTGAATTTTGATGATAAATTGGAAAAGGACGCACTTGGAAATTGGTGGAAATCTAGGAATCACCGTGCACAAAATGGACGAAGGGTAGCAATTTTTTTTGATCAAAGTGGTGTAAGATAAGTTTGTAATCAATGCATTTTGCAAAGACAGTAATAGTGGGAAGAATCAAGAGTGAGCGAATTTTTTCGCAAAAAAGCCGCAGTGCGATCAAACCTGTGCAAGAGCCAGCTTCCACCAGTACTCCTGGCGCAATGTACTTATCGGATGGAGTTCATGCTGTTGCCACATTCCACCCCTATATCGTCGAATACTCTAGCAGCTAAAGGTTTTTGTAAAGCATAAAATTTGAGCGCGACGTGCACGAGAAAGCGACCAAACAGCGTGGGTCTTGACCCGTAACCCAGTCATAGTGATGAATGCAGGTTTTCTCTCTTACCTTAATTTTTTAATCTAATCGATTAAGTTTGCCTCTTCCCAATAAGCATAACTAGATAGCAATGCCTTGTATACGGCATTCTGTTCTGCACTAGTGGCTTTGAGTAAAAATCTGCGGGTTTTGATGCGCAAAACATACGCTTCCACTCCAACAAAGTTTTATATTGCAAAACATACGCTTCCACTCCGATAAGGTTTTTATCGAAGATGAGGCTTTTTCCACATAAGCGATTCCCTGCCGGGTAGCTTGAGTCCATACTGCTTGTTACCGAACTTTCAGGCTAACACAAAAAGACTTCTATTCTGTGCTTAAGAGACTCGAAACCTGTTTGTACACATTGTCTAGACAAGAGTGAACTTGTTCTCTTTTCTCATGTAGCAAATTCCTCTAGATTAGTAAGATCGCAGAAACTTGTTGACCACACGGACACGCTTCTTTTGGCAATGAGTGCAAAGCGGATTCGAATCGCTTAGTTACAGAATGAATGGTAAGCTATGAAAAAAGAAATTGCCAGCGGAAGTCCTGAGAGACGTCGATAAAAAGTATTAGGGTGATACTAAAAAATGGGACAGCTTGATTTTTATTACATCTTAAGATTTTTTGTCTTCAGCAATAATAAGCAGGCTGCAACTCAAACGTCGCTTATATAAGAGACCTTCGCCCATTATTCTGGCAAAGCGTCAACGCTCCTCTCCCACAATCCTACGCGTGGCGCCTTTAAGAACTCGAACAGGGTTTTTTGAACATCGCTCATTCTTGCGCTGCTATACCGTAAAGTCGTAAAGCAAATGACATACCATTCGAAAGAGCTTTTCATGCTCTTTCAAACATTATATTAAACATACAGATCTCTCTATTTCTGGGTAAAAAAAGCGAAATACCTGGAAATCGCGATTTTTTGGCGCAATAAAAACCAAAAAATCATGTTTTGCCTTGTATTTTCCGAAGATAGATAAAATCTGAGGTATTCTGCATATGGTTGGATAGAGCTTAAAAAGCTGTTTCAGGTGGTACCCATAAAACATGCGTTCACCTGCAAAGCATTGAATAGCACGTGTCTTTGTTCTCAAAGCTGCTAATGGCCATATCTCCTGAATTTGAAAGTTTACACCAGCAACCCATCATGGGTCTGGTGACTGTACCTTCACGCATTGCAGCAGTAGTACTTTGGATGGTTTCGCATGTTTCACTGCGCAGATACTGCTCGAAGTTCATAATTTGTCAAATTGACTAACTTTGCATTTCAGCCACTATAAGAAATTATTAGTTACTAGCTGGCTTACCCGGCTCCGCCGTATCCGGACCAAACTTGGCACACATACACTACGGGCCCCGGCGGGTGTCACAGTCCACTTTTCGTTATCGATCGATGTCGATTTTACCGATTTTTATCGATTTTTTTGCAGAGTTCACCTACAGGGCTAGGAGTTGGCACAGGGGGGGTGGGGGGGAAGTGAGCATGGGGATTCCGAATACAATATTAGTTTTCAGAATTATCGATTACTTTTATTGATTTTATCGATTTTTTGTAAATTTTGACCTGCGGGGCTGGGAGTTTGCACAGGGGGTAATCGAGCATGCAGATTACGAATACAATATTAGTTTTCAAGATCGTCCATTACTTTTATCGATTTTATCGATTTTTTGCAAATTTGAGCTAGGGGCTGGAATTTGGCACAGGGGTGTAATCGAGCATGCTGATCACCCCCTTGGGGATGATCAGCATGCTCGATTACCCCCCTGCGCCAACTCCCAGCCCCCTAGCTCAAACTTTGCAAAAAAATCGATAAAATCGATAAAAGTAATCGATAATCCTGAAAACCAATATTGTATTCGGAATCCCCATGCTCGATTACCCCCCTGTGCCAACTCCCAGCCCCGTAGGTGAACTCAGCAAAAAAAATCGATAAAAATCGATAAAATCGATATCGATCGATGACGAAAAGTAGCCTATGATACCCGCCGGGGCCCGTAGTGTATGTGTGCCAAGTTTGGTCCGGATCGGTTCAGAAATGGAATTTTCTATTCGGAACATACGTACAGACATACAGACAGACATACATACATACAAACAGACATTCAGCTTTATATATAAGATGTAATGACCTTATATAGGTAGTTTCTGAAAGAGAATAATCTGTTCTAACATCTATCAAAATTGGGAAGTTTAATAATTTTTCTTTTTTGAGAAATCTACATTTATTCTCCAGGTGCCCCATTTTTTAGTGATCACCCTAATAAGTATCTAAGTTAGAGCTGGCGAGGATGGCGTGGATTGCGAGGTTTGTTCAAGTTCTTACTTGTCAAAGCGTTTGTTCCAACGAAAGTTTTATGAAAATCAACATGTTTTCCTTACCGCACCACCCTCCACCCCATCCTTTGATCCATTTGGGAGCAGGGCTTGGCACAAAATAGAAAGAAAAGGTGATGCCGTTTGCGCAATGGGAGTTAAACCAATACAAATGTTATGAAGAATTATTGTAAAGCAAAGTGACATGGTTCGAAGTCACCTGGGCAGGTAGTAATCACCCTGCTTGGCGGCATCAAAGATGCCGCCAAGTTGGCACACATCACGGAAAGTTGCCATCTTCGGCGGCAGCTCGCGGAGTGATTCTAAGTTTTGATATCTTACTTAACCTTGGTACGCAATATTTCGCACATTAAATTTTGATGATGCACACAGCCGCAAAACTACTACCTCCCGAGCGGTCGAACCTAAGTGCGTTAACTTCAATTGCCACCACGTTAACCATTCGACCATTTGGTCTATCGTTAACGTTTGCGCCAGCAATGGAACGCAGTGGTAAGTGGCCGCCTGTAAGAGGGATCGATACATTGCGTGAGAGACTTTGACCTAAAAGAACAGCTGATTGATATAAGCGAGGGAGGGGCGAAATCGGTGCAAACGAGATTTAAAAGGGATTTCCAAAAAAGATGGTGTTCCTTATGGTCCTCAGGCATTACTAGATCTTTTCGCTGTAATGAAATCGTCGTTCCAAAAAAGAAAAACTTATAATGAGAAACATGATAGTTTCTTGATGGAAAGTAGAATTTTTTGGTTTTTTCGCCCGACGTAAATTGTGTGATGTTGCCGATGTACTACCCAAACTTGCAGAGGCCGCCAGCAAGGTGCCACCACCTCGACCTGGTAGGGGCACGTCAGGATGGTGGCACCTTGATCTCTCAAAAGAGCGCGCTATTTTTCGTACTCTCTGACCTGGCGGCATCTCTCAGCGCTGAAATTTCGACGAGATGCCGCCAGGTCAGCTCGCGAAGTTGCCACCAGCACCTCCTGCCTTCCTTTACAATTCTGTTTAGAGAGGTTTTTAGCACCTTCAGTTGCCAGGCAAGGTTACCGGCCCTGGTCTCGTACTTGGCAAGCCACCTGAGGTGGCCCAAAGAAAACAAAATTATACTTTTGCCTACCATGATTTTCCCACTTTTTTTACATAAAATTTATCTACATTACAAGTATGTACTAGTTCGTAAACTGTTATCTATCCCCTCTCCAGTCTTATAAGGAAAAGATGGTCAGTCGAAGTGGCCTTTTGCAATGATTGCTATACGATGTTGGAGGGCGCAAAATGCTGGTTCCGAATCTGTCCTTCCTGTTTGAGGAGCATTCTTGGACGAGGAGTTATGAGCTTTTGAAGTAGCAAAAAATGAATGTTTTTTTTGGGATAAAAAAAAGTTGCCAAAACTTCCCAGCGCCTGAAGGAGACTACCGGAGTGCGGATATATCTCATCTAAGAGTATATTAATTTTACATAGTGTTGAAAAGATTACCACTGGTCCATTTAAGCGTTACGAAGCATGTTACTACTGTTTTTATATTATTTGCATAGTCAATTTTTTCTCTAATAAACGCTCACAACTTCTCGTGCAAAAATGCGCCGCAGATAATGAAGACATTTAAAATCAGCGTTTTATGCTTTCCGCATAATATACAACCCATATCAAAAGGCCACTTCGACCAACCATCCTTCCCCTGTTAGATGAGGAGGTAGTTATATCGCGCTTCACGAAATAGTACATCTTATATATAAAGCTGAATGTCTGTTTGTCTGTATGTATATATGTATGTATGTATGTATGTTCCGAATAGAAAATTCCATTTCTGAACCGATCCGGACCAAACTTGGCACACATACACTACGGGCCCCGGCGGGTATCATAGGCTACTTTTCGTCATCGATCGATATCGATTTTATCGATTTTTTGCAAAATTTGAGCTACGGTTTGGAGTTGGCACAGGGGGGAAATCGAGCATGCTGATTACGAATATAATAATGACAGGGCCGGACGGAGCCGGGTAATTCAACTAGTAGATTATAAGATAATCAAACTTTGTATTCAAAATGTATTTGTTTCAGGAAAGGTTTGTAAACTCCTAAGTCTTCTTGTAGATTTTAACTGACGTAAGATTAGTGTATAAACAGTTCGGAAGCATATAGTCTGTGGCCTAGAACCCTCCCATGCACCACCGCATAGCAGCCCATTTGCTATTCTGATGCATTGGTAAAGGAGCATCAAGTATTGAATCGCGTTGAAAAGAATGCGGAAGATCAGCGCAAAACAGCGAGAGGCAGGCGAAGAGGTGGGACGGGTACACTTCCAAGGGTTTGTAGTATACAGCTACATGAATAGAAACAGCATAGCTTTTTGTAAAAACAAGAAAATTTTTGTTTTCTCAACTTCTAGATGAGGAATAAACACAGCAACGGTACATATGAGTGTCTGATATGTGTGCAGTCTGTGTGAACAAGTTGGAGATGCAAAGGAGTTTTCGAACGAAAATATGAATTTTTCCTAATTTTTTGAGCCTTTAGTGCAACCCATATTCCGGATGCTAACTTACGGTGGGTCACAGCTGGTGCGAACTTTTGCACACTGGCTTGTAGAGCTTGTTTTGCTCTATCGAATGGTACCCTGGAACCTTATCAAATTTATGAAGTTTACGACTTATTGTTGTGAGAAATCAGAGTGTAACAAGGCTTATGAACAACCTTATAGAAGACTATAAAGCACCGGAGCAAATTGATAAAAGTTCATGTTTATGGAAACAACTGTTTCAAGAATGGGTTCTTCTAAACTCGTTTACAGTGTAACGAAATATAATCATCCTCGAAAGCAATGAAGACGACTTGCTTTTTCATACAGCATTTGTTACGCAAAGAACTCAGGCTGGCTTTCACATTATTTTCAAGCAGCTGATCCCATATCTATAGTTTGCATCATTACGCCAATAATTCATTCCTAGCAGTAATCCTTACCACTAGGCGTGCTTCAAACCCTGGTAGCACGTGTTTTGTTTAAGACTCTTATACTTCGCACTAGAACGTAAGTGATGTCGTTAGAATTCTTGAGATATTACCCGAATTTATAAAAATGATTGAAGACGTAAATGAGCTCATTTAAATATCGTGTAGAACCGCTTTTTATCTCTGCAAGGTACGACAAAGAAAAGGTTTTGTCCACGCAGAAACTCGCAGCTAGATGTATTTTTAAAGCTATTTTAGAAAGTGCTCTCGAAGAATGCAAGGAAAAGGGATTTTCCCGCAATTTTGCGATCAAGTATCTATTTTGTGTATCCTGACCACTCTTCGATTATTCACCAGCTCGCTACTTCTTTTCGATTTTCAAAATCCGTATGAGTCAGCGCGGAAACTTTGTAAAACAAGCGATGTTAACATCAGAAGGTTTGGTATATACTGTCTCTTTGATGCCGAGATGATTGAAGTGAACAGGGATCATATTCCCTTCATCCAATTTCTTTTTCTTTTATTCACTTCATTTCTTCCTTTTTTATTGCCGCCCAAATCCTTTACTACAGATGAGCTTAGGGTTAATCATATATACCATTTAACTTCATACCGTGATTAGAAAGCGACGATTAGATAAGTCCTCTCGTTTTTTGTAACTTTACATGAAATATGGGAGTTCAAGCTTCAAAACAAATGTATAGCTCTCTTTCATAATTTTATTCCAGAAAAGCCTGGTAGAATAACTATTTATTAGATTGTTTCATGAGTTCGTAGAGTTTTTATAAATTAAAATGACAAAATTTCATCAATTATTTCGATATTGTTTTGCACAAACTTCTGCCACCTAGCTCTCAGATTTCCATTTCCGCTTTTTGAAAGTCAGTGGTCGGTCTCAAAAAAAAAACGTCCAATCAGCGCCCAAGATCATCTTCATAGTCCAAACAATCACGGTTCAAATACTGTGCAAGAGAGAAAAGTGATAATCTGATGAAGGCGAAATCTGAGTACACTGCATACCAATGTGCCTCTCATTTAAGTTTTGCGATATCATGCATGTTCCAAGTAATCTCGCGTATGGGACCACGCTTTGTCATGCATAAGAACTCAACTAAATAGCCCATTACGCTTTTTATTAGGCCTTTTCTGCAGTACACATTTGTTTAGATGGTGTAGTTGGGTTGCTTATAGTGTGGTCGACCGTCTTGCTTTCCAACAGTTTCAATGTATTACGTCCTCCCTCCCGTCTCACAAAAAGTCTTGCTCAGAAGTCACTCTGCTCATCTTATTCACTGTTCACTAATCGTTTTTGTCTCGTGTTGACGCGCAAATCCTGTTTTTCATGATCGAAAAATCTATGCGGAACGCTTTTTTTCTTCAAGAAAAAATGAGCTGGCGCCAAAAATGCTTGTTTTTGCCTTTTGAATTTTTCAGAAGTTAGAAGCAGTTCAACTTTCAACAACAACACGTTGAAGAGCATGATACCTCTTCTCAATGATATATGCATCTTGCCGGATCGACCGCTCTTCGAAAAATTAGGACGACAAAAACTCTGTAAACTTACAAAGTCAATAAAATAGGCCTACTGGTTACCCCTAGGTGCTCTCATAAGATGAGGATTACATGTGAACCGTCGAGCTCTGAATTATCTTTTGGTTTCGTAAGTTTTTTGAGATGACCAAGTAAATGGTACGCATCGTTCTGTGTTGCCAAGATTATCTATCTTTTTTAAGGCAAAAATGTTCAGTAAGATTCAAGTAATATCATTTATAGGCTGTATCAGCCAGCATCGGTCCCGCGCCAGTATGATTTGCGACGACGCACCGTCGCACGCGACGTACCTCAACGCGTAGCAGAGCTCGCACGCGTCACACCGCACGGTCGCGAGTTGCCGCAGGAGCGACGTCGCATGACCGATGCTGGCTGGTACAGCCTATATGTTCTTAAAGACTTTGTCTGTCTTTTATGCTAATCCGACGATAGACTCTGCTTCTCATAGAACAGTCTAGCGTACACATTGTACATGATTCTAAGGCAATCATGTTGAAAGCATTCCATTCATGTGCGACTATATTTTGATGTACGTTACAATTCGATGATTTTCCCTCACTATTGATGTAAAAAAATTTCAAATCATCAGGTTTTTGGCAAGATCTGTATCCATTTTTACATATACACCCTCTAGCAAGTGACTTCATTCCTACTGTGGAACTCGACTTAAAATTTCAATCAACTTTACTTCAGAGATGAACCTCGAAGATTTGATAGACATGTTTCCTGACATCGAGCCATTTCTCATTCGAAAATGGCACTATGCATTCTATACATTCTTCGGTAAGTCTATCGTGACTTCTGCACGAGCAGTTTTGCATTCGCTTATAGATCTCACGGGTGATGAGGTAATTGAGTGGAACGACTTTGAGCAACTCATCGAAGCCATAGGATCAGTTCGAGGAATGGGTGGTGAGGAACATATCGCCGCAAGAATAAGGCTGGGAGAGATCTGGCATTCAATGTGTAACGAACTAGATAAGGACTACCACGACAAAGTTTGTCATTTCTTCTCCTTTTGTTCATAGTGATGAGAGAGACCGATTAGACGCATAAAAGCTTAATTCGATTCAGCAATCAATCTAATCTTTCAAACTTTGACTTGTCACATCAAAACATCATAAGGGGAAGAGCACTGTTCAATACTGAGTTGTTGGCGTCCAAAAATGCAAAGCATATAGTGAGTACTGCAGCAATAGCGCTAGGACAGAGTAGCTGACGACCAGAATGCCACGGATTCAGGGTCATTGTGCCTTCACCCAAATAGATAAAGCCCTGAGAAACCCGTACTAACATCAGGGAGTCCTGATCCTAGTGATGATAGCTCGCTAATGACCTCAGCATTGCTACTAATCGTGCATTAATTGTACCAGCACCAACTAAGCCCATGGCAAATATGATGTCATGAGCAGTATCAGCATCGGCATCATGCGAAAATTTACTCAGGGTTTCCAGAATATTGAGTTGAGGACTAGATACTGGTATCAAGGCCAATGCTAGAGGAACGGCTAGTGCTATTGCTGCATTACTCACTATATGCTCTGCATTTTTGGAAGAGCACTATTTGCTGCGATGTCGCTCGTAAGAGAATGTTTTCAAAACGAAACTCTTCTTACTATCGCCAACTTGAAGGCAGTGGCGTTGAAAATTGTAGAGGTTTGGTGTAAAAGGTCAATCTAGAAGTTGGTCATCCTTCGTTAAGCACCATTACAACTCAGATATACGTTATGGCTCCTACGCAGTAACTCTCAAAACAGCTTGCGCTAGCCCATCACGTCCTTTCGAGTTAGCAATACCCTCCCAAAGATGGTGCGCATGGCTGATGTCACGACATAGGTCCTCGCAACAACTCTACAACTTCGGCCTTGGCTGAATTTGTCCCGATTGTCCAAAGTTAAAAGGGGAAGAGGCGTCGGGAAACGCTCGCTTCCTCTAGTTTCGCGCCCTCCGAAGTTGATTTTGAAATCATCGTATTGGATAACCTCAGATAAGCGAGTAATTCTTGGAGTGGAGTTTTGGAAGTTTCTATCTGACCTCTTATCGTTCTTCCAAGCATAGTTCAAACCAACGATTACACCATTGCCATATAGAGTGTTACCTCCACTCGGCGTACGCCCGAAAACCGCGTAAAAAGAGTCCAAGCGTTTGCTGAAGATTTGGCCAGCGCTCGCTCATAGAAATTACTTGACGAGCGCTTGCAGGAAATTCTGTATTGCTGCCCGCTGGCAGAACACGGAAGTACCGCTGCCATATAGAGTGTTACCTCCGCTCGGCGTGCGCCCGAAACCGCGTAAAAAGAGTCCGAGCGTTTGCTGAAAATTTACCGCTTGCTGAAGGTTTGGCCACGCCCCAAAATTCTGATTGCCGCCTGCAGAAAAGCGATAGTTTGCAGACCGCTTGCTCCCGGCGATTATGTGAGTACGTCCTCATTCTTGGGTTGGCATACAATAGCTATGGAATTGCTCTATAACTGGTTTTGTACCAAGGAAAGGAGATTCCAGAGTTAAGGCGCTGAAAAATCTAATTGTAAGATTTTATAACGCCATCAATTTTGAGTAATTCTGGAAACTGCAAGTATATTTGGTCTTGTGACCACAGAGAACGCTGCCTGTTACAATGGGGATGAAATATCCTCTAAATCTTTCTCATGTGTAATCTTTGACTTGAAAAATCATCATTTCTTTGATCTTTGAGGCTCACGAAGTTTAGTGAGTTTCGAAAACAATGTGGTGTTATGAATCTTTGTTGCTTTTTTGCGACAGTTTTTTTATTGTATTGCTTAAGTGGGTGGCCATCATCAGGAGGATGTGATCTGCCAGCTGCTCTCGCTTGTGTAATGTACACTACAACCTTTGACCAAATTTTTTTTGCGCCACGCCATTGTAATGACTTGTATCCATGGCTATGCGGAAACAAAACGGTATTCAATAATAAAGTGATGCCTTTCACTCAAATCTTGATGCTTTTGAAAAACTAGTAGACTGGTGCAAATGCATGTCTTGCAAAGCTTTACTCTGACGCGCTATAATTCTGTCACTGCTTTATTTTCACAACTGCGACGAAGACATCAGAAGCAGTGAGCCTTTTGCAACTGCACCTTGCTTTACTGATATCACAAGCTGACAGAATCATAACCTGAAAACCAAAACTTTGTTAACCGAAATCTCATTTTTGGCAATCATAACTCTCTTCTCCTATTACGATGATTAATCGACTTATTTTAAATCTTGCGGGAAACTGTTGTTAATGTTACAGGACAGCAGCAGAGATGTTAAAGGAGGAGTTGTGCTAGTTGGTGAGCGTTTTTGACTTACGTAATTGTGAGAACTAGAAATGTTATTCGATGGACCGAGTCTTTTGAGTCTACTATGTAGCTGCCTACTGCTTGATGATAGAGTCTTGTAAGCTGTTGTGGTGCTGTAAAATGACAGCCAACGACGACTATTATTTGCTTCTTTATTTATTTTAATAACAGCGAGTTTATGGTAAGGAAAACGCTAATAAGAAACTACAAGATAATGCCAAATACCTGGTCGAGACCGTACAGTGGTGAGAAAAATCCAAGAATACGCAAAATACAACGCGCACAGCGCATCTAACTGTGGAGCAAACGATTTTCTTTTTTTACGGGTGTGAGTGTGAAATCTCATGTTGTAATGTGGACCTTTTGATCTGCACTTATGAAAAAAAAGTACGAATACAAGGACGCACTTTTTCCAATTTTTAAGGGAGCTGCTCCCTTGGACGGAAAAGGAAACTTAGGCTGGGTTCATACTGAATCTCATGTTCCGGGACTGTTGCCGCACAGTTCCCGCACTGTGCTGGAACTGTCTCGGAACAGTGCTTCATGCCTGCAACCGCCTCGCACGCGTTTTGAACGGCGGGAGTTGAAGAATTTTGACCGTTTCCGTTTTCGTTTTTTTCCTCCAGATTCCTGTCATTTTGCCCTTATTCCTCTACCTAGCTTCCCCTTTTGAAAAGCAGAATTTCGAACTAGAAGCGGGGTTGAAGAATGAGCGCTTTATTGATCTGAGTATCCGACAAAATGTCAGTTCTTGCGCTTGTCCATTCTCACGTCGTTCTCTTTTTGCTCAAACCTATATTTGTTTTAGGTGTTCCTGCTGCGTATTCCGCAGGAATCTGTCTCGAACGAGGACATGCGAACATTCTGAAAATGCGGGAATGGGAACTTTGCTCTTGTTTTCTGATGGATTTTGTTTTTCGTTTATTCTCAGCCCCTTTTCTTTTTCCATATCGTTGCTTCTGCGTTCTCTCTTCTACCCCACTTCTCGCAGTGATAAGAAAAGCCGCGAGTTTGAAGCGGAGCTGAAGAGAGAACGCTGTTCTCTTCCATGTGCATGTTCCGGATAAGTAGAGAAGAATAACGTTCATTCCTAAACCCCGGTTCAAGTTTACAGCTTTTCCCATCAGAATGAGAAGCGTGGTAGAAGATTATGGCCAAAATGAATGGGATCTGGAGGAAAACCGTTGAAAACGGTCAAATTTTTCCAACTCCCGCCGTTTAAAACGCGTGCGGGGCGGTTGCAGCGCATGCAGCACAGTTCCGGAACAGTTTCAGCACAGTGCTGGAACTGTGCGGGAACAGCTCCAGAACATGGGAATCGGTATGAACCCAGCTTTATACCGCACGATACTCTCAGGCAATACGCATTTTTGTAAAGCCTCCTTTGATCGCAAAATGTTTTGGTGTGCTTGAGCCGGTGGAATTTAGAAAGAACAAGTGCTTCCTGTACTCGTGAAATTAGGGTAGTAAAGCGGCCAAGTCGTCTTACTCCTACAGATCACCATGGTGGACTGGATTGGGATGTGGGCGAAGTCCTGGTCGGCTGCTAAGGAACCTGCATGGCAGAAGGCCTACCTCGACTACATGTTCCATTTGCTCGATGCGTCTGGTGATTTTCATTAGCACTTAAATTACCAACTTTAAACCTAATTCTGCTCAGGTGATCAGTTGGTCGATTTGGCTGAGTACGTAGAAGTACTGGGATACTTTTCCATACCAAGAGAGGACGCTGTTGCATGCTTTGATAGATTTGCGGTGGTCCGATTTTCCTTTATTTATAAAATGCCAACAAAAAAAGACTGTTACAGAACTCAAAAGGAACACACTTCAATTCCATTGACCTCAAAAAGTTCAGCGAATTGTGGCAACAATACTTCCATTCAACAAATATCAATGACGACGGTAACCATCTTCTCGGAATGCCACCATAAGGACCCAAAAACAGCTCTATTCTGGACAAATGTTTTTTCATCGTTTTATGTGCTCTGACGTTTTCTATCCGAATCGATGGATGGTTTTTGTTATGAACATAAAACGGCAAATGTATATATGGACGGCAATGCCACGATTCTTCTACGATTTGCACTTTTTACACAGCTCGCAGCGCTTTTTCTATTCTTTGTATCTAAAATATCTTTATCGATTTGAGATTTCAAACCCTCCGTTGTAAGCCTCCTCGACCTTTATAAGATGTTCGCTTTCTATTCAAAAAGAATGATCCTGACTGTAATCTGATTTTACGCTAAAATATATAGCAGAAAAAACTTTCTTCCGTTTAGAAGGGAAGAACTTCAACCCGCACTAGTGCTCTGGAATACAATGTATGTCGCTGTCCCAAATTCGCCTTCCTTATCTAGTGTACGATTCTATAGAAGAAGCAAAGTCATCCTAGAACTGGAGCAGGGCATTCGCGGCAGAGCCGGGCGGACGCCACCCTCATTTCGAGCAAGTACATATTTTTTCACTCTTGTTTTTGAAAGCCTCTTCTTGTGTTTTAATAGCAGCAGGGTGAAAACTGATGACTTGATGATATTGAGCGATGTCTCGTACTATGCTCGTTCGTTCAACTTTGAGTTGAGGTAAAGCTTAGCGCGGCACTGCTGCAGCCCTCAGTCCAAGCTTACACATATTCTTCCGTTTTTCTTATTATTAACAGCTATTTGTTCTGTCAAGCACCATGTTCATATCTAGAGTTGAGAATGGTTTCGCTGTTAATGATCTTACATAATATTACTATTGATTGCTCAACTCTGTATCAAATTAAGGGTGGAGGAGCGATGCATGCGCATTCGGTGGCATAAAGCGCACTAAAGCAACAATTCAGAACATATTAATTATCCAAAAAGGATCTATAAGCAAAAATCTCTAATCTTCATCGTATCTCCAAGCTTACCTCAAATTACAGTCAAACAAGCGTATAAAAGTGAAAGCGACACTATGTAAAATCGTCATTCTAATCACGCACATTGTTAGAAAACAAGAAGTAGAGTTTAGCAATAAGAAAAACAGAAACATGTGTGAGCTTGTGTTGAGGCTGTGAGTGCCGCGTCTGCCGCAACCGGCCTGCTCTGATTCAAGTTCGATTTTGTCCACTGAGCGACTATAGCATCCGCAGAAAATGCAAAATTGATAGCAGTTTCACAAGACTTTCTCTTTATCAAAGAAGCGCAAGCGTTAAAAATGAGAACTTTTGCAACAATTTAAGTTATATTGATTGGAAACGGAAACTTTTGCAGCACTTTCCACAAAATTTGCGGGAATTCGTTTTTGAAATGTCCAGCGAAACACTGAGTTTGGGGGTCTAATGCATACTTTACTTTGATGCTCACCCTCGTAGACGTAATTATAATGTTGATACCAACTATGAGGCAGAAACACATTTACCACGAACAGAGATAAGTGTTCTTGAACCTCTAATGTTTTGATGTATGACGCTGAATTTCTACCAAATTTGGGGTTCTCATCACATAACTTCCTCCATAGACGCTCGATGGAAGGTAGAGATGGAGCGAGATCATCGCCTTCAAACAAGCTCGAACGACGTTCACTCTAATTTCTACTTTCCTCAACGAGTTTAATGCGATCGGTCAAAATCGGTCACCACGGAAAACGAGATCCTTTTAACATTTTTTGATGCCAAAGTTATCGAGTGAACAAGACGCCTGAAGCGGGAATCACATGGAAGTGAGAATTTTGAAGTACACGTGTCCCGAATCCCCATAGAGGTGACGAGGTGACAACCAAAGCTCGAGCTCACAAGAGGCCATCCGACTCACAGTGATTTTTTCCAATGGAATGTAAATAGGTTTGTAGGTCCTGGCATGCAACTTACAATCTTCTGGGCCAAAATATAAGCGTTCGAATTTCCTGGGTTGCCCGCTAAACACAAGTACGGGCAGAGTGCCTCAACCTAGTGTGATTGCGTTGCATGGCATGTTGCGCTCATGATCTTTGAGGTCTAAGTTCTAATCCTTTTCTTACAAGGGAGGTCTTTTCGGTCGAAGTGGCCTTTTCACATGAAAATGATACGACTATAAAGAGTATCAAACGCTGATTCCAAATCTGTCTTCGTTATCTGCCGAGCGCCTCTGGACGTCGAGTTATGGGCGTTTTTTGAGTTGAGAGATTGCATGCATAATCAGGACAAAATTCGTCAGAATTGCTCTGATGGTTCAATGTTGATTATCAAAGCACTTTATCTGATTAATACCTTCTGTTTAAAGCACTCATATTTAACATTGCTCTATTTGAGCCCTGAAAAGACCGTAAAATTTTATTTTACTCAAATTATGTGTTCATTTTTCGCACCAAGAAAATATTCATAACTCGGCATGCAGAAGCGCTCGGCAGGTGAAATCAAATTTGGGATCAGCGTTTGATGCTCTTCAAAGTGGTATAAGACTCATTTGGAGAGGCCACTTCGACTAATTGGACCTCCCTTGTTAGCAATTTTTGCATTTGTCTCTTCCTGTTATCGGTGATAAACTGGACGAACAAGCACCACTGAAAAAATTTTATTGCATAAATACAGCTACAGCTTATTGATAAGGCTAGCGAGTTTAGGAAAATTTACACGTTTGATTCACAATAAAGTGCTGGAAACAGATAATATGTTCACAATAGTGGCAACGGATAGAATAATGTCTTGTACTAGTAATGGTAATCGCGTTCCAATCACCGCAAAATGTCTGGTAACATATGACTTAATTTTTGACATAGACACAGTAGCCTATGACCGTTGATCTGATGATGCTAGGACGTCCAGCCTATCATGAAGACAAAAAGAGACAAATGCAAACATGATATCGAAAAGGATTTGCATCTAGACCTCAAAGACTATGAGCCCAACCACTTGCCACGGCGCTACGCCGCCACGGAGTGTTTAGGCAATTCGGAAGTATAATTCTAAAATACTCGTACTGACCGCGCAATTTCGGGAAAATCGAACGCTTGTATTTTGGCCTGAAGGACCGTTTGGTAGGCATGGAGCGCTTTGTAAGTTACAGCAAGACCTACAAACATATATATATATATATCATGACTTATAATAAGCGGCTTAATCTGAAGTTGTGTGGAGTTTGTCCGTTACGAAATTGCAGTGAGGAATGATTTACATTGCTTAAATGCATGTGAGAGTTGCAAAGCAAGTAAGGTTCATTTTTGTAATTACTTTGCGGTTTCCTCCATCAAAGAATGATGAAGGCCAAGATCATTACGTAAGTTTACGTATACTTTTCAGAATGGCCAGTGCGAACCTCTGCGAAGTAGAGGTGAAGCACTGGTCATGACTTATAATAAGCGGCTTAATCTGAAGTTGTGTGGAGTTTGTCCGTTACGAAATTACAGTGAGGAATGATTTACGATACTAACATCATGTGAGGTTAAGATAGCGAGTATGGTTCATTTTTAACTACGGCTCACGTTGCAATAAACCGAACAATGATTTGAGAGACAAGCTCTCAGAAAGTGAGTTTACCACGGTTCACAATGCCAGTGCGAACCTCTGCGAAGCAGAGGTGAAGCCCTGGTATATAATAAGCGGCTTAATCTGAAGTTGTGTGGAGTTTGTCCGTTACGAAATTACAGTGAGGAATGATTTACGATACTAAACATCATTGAGGTTAAGATAGCGAGTATGGTTCATTTTTAACTAAGGCTCTCACGCTGCAATCAACCGAACAATGATTTGAGAGACAATCTCAGAGAGTGAGTTTATCACGATTCATGACGCCAGTGCGAACCTCTGCGAAGCAGAGGTGAAGCACTGGTATATATATATTGTAGTAAAAGGCCACTTCGAGTCAGTACGCTTCGCTTGCCAGTTTCATTTCGCAGGCCACTAATCAATTTGCTATCTTTCAATTCGCCTGTCACTGCGTTAATGTAGGTCGCGACCCTAACGAGGTAAAGCTTGTGCTCATAAGCGTGACATATATAGCGAGCCAATACGTCACCTTCGGTTATTTGCAGAGAAGTGCCCAAGGTGAGAGATGCAAGAAAACACGAGGCTAAAGCTCGACAACGCCAAGTTCGCAACTAGGAATAACGTTGATAATAGAGACCAACCCAGGGGCAGTATTCATCGATCTCCTATGTAGGAAGGGTTTCTGTACAGGTACATGCGCGAGCATGGCGCCCGCGATACACGAAGCCGGGTAGGGGAACGAGAGCCGCCAGCTTCGGCCGCCTGCGCGGACTGCTGGTCCTGGAACGACATGCAACAACGTTGCGAAAGGACCAGTTAGCCGCGAAAGGCGGCTCAAATTGGCGGCTTTCGTTCCCCTACCCCACGAAGCCAAGGTGTTGATCGGGCTCCTTTCTATTTATATGGTACAATCTGGCAGATTTGGATATGTGACAGGTTTGGCCATGTCGGGCACGGCAGTTGGGCAACGGAGCTCGATCTATAGAGACCAGTTTGGACCACATTCTAAAGTTTAAAGAATCGTTGGGTTGGCTCTCTAACCTGTCCGGAATCTCGTTAATAATGGCCCGAACAGCGAGTGGAAATTAAAAAGACACCGCTCCAGCCCCAAATTATGGACACTAGCCGGCTTTCGCGGTCAAACCCGGACTGGGTTGAACTGGTCCGTCAAAGCAATTTTGTTCTCGCCTGTCAACAACCTAGCCCTTCTTTGGCTGTTACCTCCACCCTCGCACAGCTCCTTCCTCTTCCACGCTCTTGTTTTGAATCCTGCACCAGCGCTTTTGTGCTGGATTCGTCTTCCTTTCTTGCTTCCTCGCTGCGGAATACCGATCCGCCTCGCTGCAGAATGTGAATGAATACCGCCCTCGTTTACATGACTATGGAAATGCTGGAAAGCATGATAAGCTTTCATCCTATATGTAAGTAAACAAATCAGTGAATCGATACAAGGATAAAGCGAATTGTCGCGAAAAGTAGCCTATCTTTTTGTGATCTCTTTTAGAACTTTTTTTCTAGTAGAACAAAATTCAACCTCTTCGGTCCACATACAAAGGTGTCGATAAGCCACAAACAGGTGATCTACCTGTTACAACAAATTCTTTACGGGATGCTTTCCTTGCAAATGGCAGCCGACGAAGTCTTCGATGTAGCCAGTGGCCATGCTCGCTATTAGAGATCAGCAGTCAAAGGTTCGGTTGCGTATGCGCTCAGGGGAAAACATTTGCGCTCGCATTTTGTGATAGTCGTACGAGGGACTTAGGAGGCAGCGTTCGGGCAAGAACTCTATTTCCTAGAGAATTTGGATACCTGAGGTTCTCCGCAACGCTAAACGCGAAGCCACACCAAAAGCGCGGAAACGGTGAAAACGCGGATCTCCCAAAGCCCTACAGTTAGGATTTAGATGGGTGGAACATTTCCGCCGAGGCTTAGGATTGTTTCATACTGCCGCACTGACCGCAGCAGACTGCAGCAGACTGCAGCTGACCGCACTGACCACAACGGCCGCGCAATCGCTGCATCCTTTGTAAAAGATAAAATAGTTGCGAATATAT